GGGGAGACAGGGAGAGACAGGGAGAGCCACAGACAAATAGGGAGAGATACAGAGACAGGAAGACGGAGGGAGGGGGGAGAAGGGAGAGAGAGAGAGAGAGAGAGAGAGAGAGAGAGAGAGAGAGAGCCGGATTACGATATTTTGCTAACTCGACGACGCGGCAAACCGTGCTACAGGAAAATCGTCAATGCGGATGTGGCGGCCATAAAGTTACACGCTGCAGCAAGGGAGTATTAGCGAGATCATGACGCGAGCCAGGAAAAACAACGAGAAGGGGTGGCGACATGCGGCGGGTCGAGAGTATAGCAAACTAGAATGAGCGTATTCCGTCGCGCGCGTACACCGCACACGGGACATTAATTGAATTATATATTATCATTGCCGCGGCGTTATCGGACGACGGAGGCTCATTTTGCGGAGCGGACATTATTCAATTTAAACTTGATGCATCTCCGGCCGTGTAATCAAACGCTTGCGTATCGCGGGGGCACGACGTCGCAAACTGTACTTTTCAGGCGCGTCATCCTCGCGCGAATTACGAAGATTTGCAAATTTCTTAGAACGATAATGTCGAGCTTCGAAACTCCGTCCCATGACTCGTGGGGAATTATTGCGGCAGAGGGACTGCGATATCCCTCCGGAACGGGGAGAATCGATCTCTCGCAATCAGTCTAAAACTTGAACGCGGAAACGGAAAAATGATATGCTTCGATTTTCACTCCTCTTCGAATCTCCAATCGTAAAGTTCCCTCTCGCATTTACTTGCACAACTCAATTCGTTTAAACGGCTGCGAGAGAAAGGGTCGCGGTGACTAAAATCGCGGTGATCCTTAAAATGTTATTTGTGCCGAAAACCACAAAACGAGCGCGAGGACCTTTCCGCTTCCAGTCCATATCCACAGAGCATTGTATTCCCCCGAACGTATAAATGTTCTTTCGTGGCATGCGGATCCCGCATTGTTTTGACAAGAAAGTACGACGGTACTGCTTCCGACTCTACAGCGGATATAACGAAATTCCATCGCGCGGCAAAAATCCGAGCGCGACGAACGTGCACAGCTGCAATTCGTAAAAACGAACACGCGAAGTATATGCGGCGGCAATAAAACAGGCGTAAAATCTACGTACGTATGATATCGGCACAACTGCAGAAGGAAATTTCGCGATCTACGAGACTCACAGATCCTTTCGTCTTTCTTTTCTGGGAAAAAAAAGACAGCAACCCATTTTGAGGCCCACAATTAGTAATCGAATTATTTGGCTTGTTCGTAGCTCTACTCTGGGAAAGATTTTGACCTTTTTTGTAGTTAAGCAACTTAACATTTCGGTTAGTGTCTCTTGAGTGAAAATTGTCTTTGCGTTACTGAATATCGACAGAACTAATTGATTAGTATTACTTAAAAATCTAGAATATTATAGATAAAATAGCTAATTGCGATTTTTACGCGATTTAATTTAGTTACGCGGAGTAAAATTCGTAAAAGGCTAGAGTTATGAACAATTCAAATAATTCGATTACTAATTGTGGGCCCTAAAATGAGTTGTTATTTTTTCCCCCAGAGTTCAGACGAGATAGTTAACACATTCACCGCCAAACGTATTTTTGACTTTCAATACACGGCAGTTATATTTTATAATAAAAAGAGCAATGAAATATTTAATTTATACAGGGTTGGGAAGTTATTTGTAACGAAGTTACAGTTACAGTTACAGTTACTTCTTTTTGGCAACTCTAACTTAACTTCGTTACTTTTTCTCCATCCGTAAATGTAACTTAACTCAGTTACATTTTTTCGATAACTAGTAACTAATTTAATAGTTACATTAATATTTACTTTATATATTTACATATTTACACTTTATATAGTTATAAAATAATTACTTTATATATTTTTTAAACCTTCACTGGTAATCGCATAGGCCTTGGCTTTGCGTATATATAAGCGCCTCCCTAGAAGCACAATTCATTGGCTGTACATTGGCTAACATTGGTTAAACATTGGTTATGTTGGCAGTGAATTCGCCAATATTTCCCCAATATAACACCAATATTGGTCATAAAATAAATGCAAATATACTACTGATATCGTACAAGGATGATTATTTAATATTGGATTGATTGTATTAGCAAGATTGCCCAATAAAATTGTAATATTGAGCATAGAATAAATGCTAATGTGTAACGCCGATGTTACGTATCAATAATTGCACGTTACTGTGTTTACATTGAAAGTGCATTGCAAAAATATGAGGCTCTCCACCACTCCCGCCGAATTCTTATCGGCGGCCCTTTTTTATTTGCGATAATTTGCGAATTTTATTCACAACTTATTTTGACATATATTATATATAAAAATATAGAAAGAGATAATGTTACATACTGAAACTAAAAACATGATATACAATAAAAATATGTACGCGATGGGTACTTTTGGTTGTCCCGTCTTTAGGGTCTGTACTCTCTAAAAATTAATCAGTGCATCATTACTGTAAATCAGTGAATATTCATTGTTTTCAGTAATAAACCACCGAGTGATTTTTAGAGAGTAACCCTTCAGGGTACTTAAGCCCCTCCACCACGACAAGGTAGTACCCGAGGAGGGGATTATCAACAAAAAACTGTGCAATTACATATGTGTATATATAGAAAAATGAATATTGAATGAACATAAATCAGTGTTGCTATTTAATGCACGACGTGAGAGAGATTCAGCTAATCGAAAGATTAATTCACAATCCCGATCTTGGGACAAAATCAATTTTCTCGGAATTTATCAATAATGCCTAATAAACTAATGATCCGAGATAAGCCATTCTTATCTCGTTAGAAGCGCTGAAATCTTAGCTTTTCAACGAGACCAAGATCATCTTGCTACGATTTTTCTGTGCGAAGATATT